TAAAGTTTAGCAGAAAACATATGAAAGCACATTAGGTATGGGTCCTCGTGAATGTCCTTCCAAACACAGGGAAGGAAATTAAAAACCCATTCAGACCCCCGACAGGATACATGTGCTGGGAGATTGCATAACTGTTGGCTGCAACATCGGAAGTCTCCAATCAGAAAAAACTGATTTGCAGCTTTTTGTGTCATAAAATGGAACCTAAAACAACACAGAAAGAAGAGCTCCAGGTGAAGCGACACGTCCAACAAGACCTGCCCACAAACACAGCGTCCCTACGACGCCTCCTAATTCTCCTGCCCAGAAAAGCGCGTCTAAAGATGCTCCACAGATTATCCCCACAGGGAAATCCACGTGCAAAGCATCTACCTTTACCTAATCTAGTAAGCACACACATGCACGGTAAAAGGCTACAAGCCAATCACGTCTCTTCCGAAGGGGGCCTGGGATTTTTTCACGTGACGCTGAAGCCAGGGATTACTCACCTGTGCCGCTCTGTGGGATGCCACTGACGGACACCTCCATGGCCAATCTGAGGGCTGCAAGGCGCTCTCCCTGCTTCAGGTGGAGGGGAACTGCTGCATCTAAGCTAGACTCCACCGTTTAAAGCCACAATTAGCTCTGCTTACGGCTTTAGCCAACCAATACAGTCTCAAGCGGAGAACAGAGAACAAACGTGGGCCCTCCCACCTGAGGTCTGCTTTAAGAGTAAGAATTGATTTAAAAAATAATAATCAAAAGAATTTGTAGTTTGATCTAAGGTAATTAAATGGATAAAGTGTATTTACAAAAAAGCAGGTGCATCCAAACTAAAATAAGACTGAAAAGTATGTTCTATCTGTCCAATGAACCACGGAAGTACCAGCCGCAGTATGCATGAAGAAACCTTCATTCCACAAAACTAGAGTATTTAAGAAGACTGATAGGCTTTGAATTCTTAAAATACTTTGCCATTTTACATGATTTGTATGTTTAAATAACAAATTACAGACAAAAAAAAGAGCTAAGGTATATCACAACAGCGGAAGCTGTAAAAACTTGTCAACCTTGTATTCAAACATGAGCGCTACAGCAACGCAAAGCCAACTCCTGTGACTCATGGACCTTTATGACGCTCCCTTCTGCACATGAAAATACCGTAAAAACCACAACAGACATAATCGGAAAGGTGAGAAGATAGTGAAGTAAAGTCTATTTAAGAACTGCCACCTGCAAAGGTATGCAAGACATGGAAGTAATCTCTGTGTTAAGTCACTGATGAACCAGAGTCGATGTCAGAAGTGTCTTACCTAGGCGGTTCAAAGTCCTCTTTTCATCTGGAAATACAGAGCCATTTAATCTGCTCGTGTTAGTCCATTGTGTTTTATCAAGTCCAAAATCCATCAGGAAATTATAGAAAACCTAATGTTTCTCTTTGCTGACGAGCTTTTTGGAGATGCTGGTTTTATGTTCCAGTAGGACCTGGCCAATCGACAAAAGTTCAAATACCTGTTTGAACGACCGTGGTATCACTTTGTTTTATTGGCCAACAGATTCACCTTATCTAAACAGAATGATGTCAAGATTAAGATGAAAGACCGAACCATACAGACGAGCTGTTACTTAAGCAACCTAACATTCATTTCCCTCAGATGAGCCACAAGCAGACTGTCTCCATTCCAAACCGCGATGATACAGCAAATCAGAAAAAAAAAGGAGCACAAACTAAGTACCAAGGGCGAATACCATGCAGTGCAGGGAGTGTGGATAAACAAGTCTGCATTAATTGAACTTTTTTTTTTTCACATGTATCTTGAAGATCATAAACCATCGTTTGTAACAGAAGAGGCTCTTTGCAGACGTGATAAAGCCTTCGCACAAAAATGCAAAGTAATACATGTGCGGCACAACAGGAAGAAGGGGGGAGGTGAGTAAAAAAAACAAAAGTTTCATTAAGCGCCCTGCAGCGTCTCATTATTTCCACACAATATTCGTCCTTGAATGCAAAAAAAGGTTACAATTGAAAAAAAAAAAAAAGTGCTAAACTGCATGCAGCTCCCCACATTTCCTCTTTCCTTAAATGTAAAGATTATCCATCTCTGATTAGCACAGAAAATCTAAGTTGCCTGGCAACGCACAATTAAGAAATATGCTTTCCGATCAGTGGCAAGAGCGACCTCTTATCAGATGAAGTTGGAGCAGCAACAAATGTTGCAGTCACATGCAAATGACGCCAGCTGCGATAAGAGTGCTGTGGGTAGTGGCGACCCCTGACAGAAGAGGATGTTTTCCACGAAGCTCGAAAAAGCTTCTCCCTCCCCCATCTTCTGAATCTGCTTCTTACTTCTTTGACAACACATGAAGGGAGGCCACTTCATAAAAGCCTGTATCAAGTGCAGCAGACCACAGAGCCTTTAGGAGGGGGGTAAGATTAGGTGCTACACAGCTAAAAACAAAGTTACCAGCTCCCATTAGAAGAAGTTTGTTTGTTAAACTTGAAATTTAGGTGTTTAGGGTTTTAAAAAAAAGTATCCCACAGGATAGTTCTAAAATACAAACTAGCTGCATGTAGAACTCAGCTTCACAACATTTCTTCAAGATTTTTTGAGAAAACTTTTGTAGAGCATAAAATAAATACTTTTATAACTATTTGCACGTAAGCCCATTTGTGTGACCTTCAAAGATAATACACGGCTGTAGTATTAAATTTCACTGCGGCTATAAAACCACATGACAGAATTTCTAAGTGTCGGTCATAACTGCTATTTATTGGCGATTATTTTAAATGTCACATCAAGACTAAGATGACGACAATCGATGACTATAATAACCAGTCGACATTAAAATATTTATTAAGAGATTGTTTTTGTAAATTAATCTTTTTAAATTAAATTTCTCCCTGAAGGTTAAGCTGCTGTGCTGCTTTAGGCTCCAGGAGGACAAACTGACCACTTTCCCTGTACCTTCCTGCAGGAGGGCATTGTTTGAGACAAATATTGATCTCTCTCTCTTTCTCTTGCTTTTTTACTTTCCTTTAACTTAGGAAGCACTTCTACATCAGCTCTCCTCAGCTCAGTATGAGGAAGCATGTAGCAAGCGATTGTCTACAGTTGTTACATGAATGAATTATGTAAGTCAACGACGTGATAAAATCTCGGTTCCCTTCAAAACTAGCTTGAACAATAATTTGAACCTAATGCACTGATTGTTGGCTAGGATCAGTTTAACTGAAATGTTTTTTTTGTTTGTTTTTTTTGTAAAGTGAATTGGCCCTGAATAGTTAAACTGAATTGGATTGACTTTCTCCAAGTTGACATGTGTGAGAACTGACATTTTCTCCAGTCGTTGGTCAGTTCCATCTAAAATCTGCAATTTCAAAACAACTACAGTGGACAAAGGGTGAATCAAGATTTTTAAAGACTGAACAGCTCTAAAGTACAGGGTTACTTTAAATTAGGCAACAATAAATATGTACTTGCATGCTAACCACGGCAGCATAGGCGTCTTGCTAGAGGAGCAGCTGATGACACCCAGGGGTTAATGATGAAAGATAAAACTGGCCTAAGTGCTTCTTTAAGGTGCTGAATGCACTCTTAAAGAAGAATGCACTCTATCTAGGCAGTCAGACACATCTGTCTCCCACATTGTTCTTTGCAAAGGGGTTTAATGGAAATGTTTAGATCAGTGTTTCGCTAATTTACTATTTTTCTATATGTGTTGCTGTGCAGAATTAGTGCAATCTAAACTCACCCCATTCTAATTACATTTACTATGTAGATATTAATACAGGGTATTTTAAACACCATGCTGTGCTATGATTTGATTAAGCCAAGGCCATAATTTCAAAAGTGCAATTAAGAACATCCACTGCCGGATTGTTGGATGGCACACACAATAAGAAACTGTGCATGCACACAATTAACTGTTACCAATTAACAGAGAAGGTTTTGGTTTTTGGTACTTCTAGCCCTAACGCAACAGTGATACCAAATGTAAAAGTACATAAAAACTAACTTTTCTTTTCTTGGAGGAACGCAGGCTGTTTTGATGAAGCAAGAAAATAGCTTAGATCATTTGAAAAAATAGTTTAGGTGAAAAGAAGAATTGATGACTTGAGATTAATTGAGAAATTAAAAAAAAACCCACAAAAAATACTTGATATATTGATTTGAAAAGAACAACAAAAATAGCTGCCAATTGTAACACAAAAGAGTCAATTAGAGAAAGCAGAATAAGGCATATTTTTGATTAAACAACAAAGAGGCAAAGAGAGAAAGGAAATGTCTGTGAGTTGTGTTGCACTACAGAAACACAACTGAAGCTACAAAAACCAGTTGCCTATTATAGTCTACACAAACATACATCCAATTAGTGTAATTGGATTTTTAACTGTTAAGCTCCAGATTAGGTGAGAGTACGACGTATATTGAATGACAGCAACATCTCTTACATACTAAAAACAAGCGGTGTATATATAAAAAAAAAACTATCTCAAAAGGCAAAGTACATTTGAAGGATGGCTGATGAACACTACCTCATATATTTATGTATTTTGAGAGCACGCTACAACAAAGTGGGCATATCATTTAAAATTTCACTGCTACCCTGCAAAACAACCACGAAGGCACAGAAAATTTGACCACCAACTTAATTAAAAACAAGCATCCTAAAAAAAAAAGAAAAACTGAGTGGTGCTTGTTTGAAATGTTTCAAGTTGGTGATGAGACACAATCCCCTCTGGCAAATGACACAACTCTGGTGCAATACATGTATAAATAGTTGCATAATTTGGAGAGAGAAACCTCTCAGAGCAAAGCAGCTTAACTTGTCAGAGTCATCTTGCATGCTGCTCCTCCAAAAAACAATGTCAATGTGATTTCAATTTTGCATACCACAAATTTATCCTGAGACTAGAATCACAGGGTGGAACTTGTCGTTATCAACAAACAATATGGATTTAGATATTAAAGCATGGCATTTTAGGAAATAAGTAACGAAAAAGTGAGGTTTCACATTACTTGTATCGGGTGCGGTGGCCATGGTTGAGACTATAACAGGCGGACCGGTGCGACGTCCAACCAGCTTGTTGTTGGTGGTGGTTTGCCCGTGGAGAGTGGTGTTGGAGGTAGAAGGAACGATGGTGCTCTCAGGAGCAGCACTGATCCCTTTCCGGAGAAGCTGTGGGCTGTGGAGGGGGCTCGCTGCTGCAACGGGGGAAGCCGGGGGAAGGTTTGGGGCTCGCTTCATCAGCTCCATGGGGGAATAGGAGCCAGAGAAGGTTTTGGGCGCCGTTCCGGGAGTGCCAGAAGCTGGTGGGGGTTGCTGTCCAAGCGCAGACATGGCAAGACCGGTGTGGGGATTGTACATATAGAGAGGTCTTCCCTGAGGCACTACATTGTTGTATCCTCCAGGGCTAACTGGGAAAGCTCCAGTTGCCAGTGGCCTTGCCCCGGGGTAGGTGGTGGTCTCGAGGAGATGCTGAGAAGGAGCACTGCTTGGCCTTCGGCCGAGAAACTCCCCCATTCTCGGCGATACGGTCTGAATAGTGGTGGAGGGTTGCTGCATCAGACTGGTGTCCATAGTCAGCCCCTGGGGCTGGATATAGAGGTCATTGCGATGGCTAAAGCTGTTAGACCGGGTACGTGTCGCAGCACCGCCTGTTTTACATCCCATCACCAGGCGGGACAAAACACGAGCTTGGGCCAAGTTCGGGGCCACAGACCGAATATCATTATCCTCCATCATCGTCAGCGTGGCCGTGGAATCAAAGCCGTGTTGAAGCAGCAGAGTGATGGTGCTCTCAGCCAAGCCTTCGGCTCGCAGGAAAGCCAAAAAGGTAGGGTCTACCATCTTCTTGGGGTCTGCAGAGCTGGGATGGACTGGAGGCAGGCTGGAAGGCATTCCAGCTGTGGCCGCCACCATGACTGAGGCAGGGTCATAGTTAGGGTCATAGGGCAGCCTCTGGGAGGCCACAGCTCCGTAGGCCCGTGGGAGAGCTCCGTCCATCACTTGAGATACTGGGTCCACCACTGAGCTGGTGCCAGTTGGGTGGCGAGGTTCCAGGGGCAAGCTGGTGATGCTGTTATAAACCTGATGTGCAGGCAGAGACGGCAGTTCAGCGGCGTAAATGGGAAGAGGGGGCTGGACCCCGTAGATAGCGGCCGGAGCAAAAGAGCTGCCGCCAATATGCTGGACGTCTGGGATCATCTTAGATCCCAGAGCTTCCCGGTACAAACGGCTCAGCTCGTGAAGAGGAGGGGGTGGAGGTGGCGGGGGAGGAGGGAGAGGAGGAGGAGGCACGGATGTAGGTGCAGAAGCAGAGGCCAATATAGAAGGTGTGGCCCTTGCCTGTCCTTGATCCCACGCAGGCCTCACCCCTCCATAATGCGAGGCTGATCTGGTGAGTGAGTGCTGGTTATCCCTGTAAAACCCAGACTCTTCAGGTGGCTGACCAGATAAGGAAGCGTCAGCCAGGTAGTAATCCTGAGCTGGTACCGAGGTCCGGCCTGCCATGGCCTGCCTCAGGTAGAGGTTACCGCTCAGATCAGGAACAGAGCCCTTCCTCAGGAGCTGCTGTCCATGCAGGCCTTGATGATGTTTCTCAGCCAGGTCTAGCTGATGAAGAAAACCAGTGGTGCTGTCTCTACCACCCAGCAGCAGAGAACTCCTTTGCCCCGAGATGGTACCGCAGTAGAAACAACGACTTGCCGGCCTGTCGTTCTGGCCCTCGCTCCACGCAGCGACCTGCTGGCCCAGAGAGCCACCAAAATGCGACTGCTCGCTCGAGTCAGGCATCAGTAAAGACAATAATGAGGATAGCTACAAAAGAGGAAAATAGAGCCGAATATTGGGTTTCAAACTCTCCAATTACACTGACCCCCCCCCCATCATAAGGGAGAAGTGGGGAGGAGAGAAGGACAGGTGAAGCAGCAGGTACCCTCTTACCTGATCTGCAGCTGTACACCCCCTCCCTCCCTTCACTCTTAAGTCTGAGCTATCATGTAGCTCCCTGCTGGCAGGCTGTCTAAATAATTCAGCCCTGGAAACATTAGAAATCCATGGGGAGAGACATACAACATGATAGAAAAAGAACACACACGCAGACATACTGGCAGAAAAATAACACACCTTCAGAGTGAGGCTCTACTCCATTCTGCTGGGATCATGCTTGTGCTGGGCATCCCACACTAAGACTGAGGGGTAAGAAATTGGGGTAAAAACACATGCTGGACAATGACAACAGGCTGGAGGAGGGGACGAGATGCACTAATCCAGCGGGGGCTGATGCATGCATGCATGCTATTGGCAGGGACTGTCCTCTCGTTTACTGCGCTCACCACGAGGGGATTAGCGTCAAACTAAAACCTGCTTAAATCCACTGCTCCTGTGACATCACTTGGTCTAGATAGTGCATGTAGCCGGCAGTCTGCAGAGGCCCAGGGGTGTGTTGAGGGAGTGTAAAACTACACTGTTTATGGTGTTTGCTGCTCACCTCTCTGCTGGCCTGCAGCCCATATCCCTGTGGGTTTGACTGGATCTTACCCAAGAGGCAGAGGAGGACAAAGGGGGTGGGGGGTGACATGCTGCACATCCCCAATGAGATGGGGAGGGATATGCAACAAAGTCGACTCCCACAAGTACTTCTGAGGCTTACACTTAATCTGATAGCTGTTAGAAGAAAACCAGGACATGCTCCACTTCAACCACGAAGAACACAGAGTCTCCTCTGCTGGGCAAATGCATTTACAGAACATGCATACTCCCAAAGTTTCCATACACACTGGTGTACAGTCCAATGTTAACAAGTACTCGGGTATTATTTTTATTTTAATAATGGACTGAAGTTTGTAAAAAAATAACTTCACTCGTTTACTCATGAAACCCAAAAATATATGAAAGGAAATGAAAGTACAGCCAAAAGATCAATATGGAATACCTTACACACTCATTTGGAAAAGTACTAACTCTAGTTAGCCAATGTATTCTTATCAATAAGCCTCAATAAAAAGGCTCAACCACGAATGGTTATTAGTAATAAAAAAATAAAATAAAATGAAAAGAAACTGGTGGTTTACAGAGTGCTGCGTGCAAGCAAACTCTGGCAAGCTGAGTGGAAGGAAAAAGGTGTGGGAGAAAACTGCGCACTAGTAAAACCAACTCCAGTAACTAACATGGAGTCTGACTTATTCTGTGACATTTTAGACGCAAAGTTAGAGAAACACGATGCACGAGTTTGTACGCTTATTTTTGTCCAAATTTACTCAAACAGATAACAGCATGAAGACTTTTAGAATTTAATGCTTACGAAAATATTTGAAGATGCAATTCAGTTCAGTTCAAAAATAAATATACAGCAAAAACTGCTGCTGTACAAAACCCCCCCAAAAAACCTCTAATTGTTTGTATTCTCTTATTAATAAAACTCAGATGAGGTCCTGAAAAAGTAGTCTTGATTTCAGCATGAGTAATATAAAAGTCGGTTGGAACCAATGACTCAGCGAGCACAGCAGCTTGACAGGTAGCAAGGAAATTAATGCAAATGAGACATAAAACAGGAATGCAATAAAAGTGTGTGCAATAACGTCTGTGGTGACTACAGGTGCAATTTTATATACGGACATGGACAACCAACAATTCAATAAATACAACATATGGATGGTCATTGCAAAATCATTGACAATATTTCTAAAAGGTCGACGCAGGCCTTAGATTTATTTCAGAAATGTTCCATAAACGGTATTACAAGATCGACTTGTTACGCTCTCTGAGCACGAACTTTATGAACTTTCCTGCCACATACCAAACACACCAGATGTGCAAACATTGCTTATCTGGCATGCTGCCATTGCCAGCGTTTCATTGCGGTGACAAGAGTTATTAGAACGGGTTTAGAAGGAAAAGGAAGGACTCCATCGCTGAAGATAGAACGAAAGCGACAAAGGAGATACGGTCACCGGACCTTTTGACTTATGTTAATCAGCAACACTGCAAAAACATCATGTTACGTACAAAATAATGCGTACAGTTTAAGACTGTTAAAATTATCTTTAAGAAGTTACTGAGATATATACATAGAGCTGATCTGAGAAAAGAGCTGATTCTAAACTCAACGGTCTACACCTTTTCTTCAACGGCGGTGGCAGATTATTCGGTGTGGATGCTGTCGCTGATGACTGAAAAAGAAACAAAATGAGCTGTTTTCAGTTTGACTGAGGTGTTTGATTGAAGTCAAAAGGATCGTGGAGACCTTAGATTAAAAAGAAAACTGCTTTCTAAAACACAATTGAGATCATTTAGGCTGCAAGACACAATTAAATTTTAGCAGATGACCGGAAGTGCTGAAAACAGAGTACCGAACAGAGTACTAAAAATGTGCTCAAATCTTTTTGAGCTACCAGAGTTAAACCTGACGCAGTCCAAGTAAAAGCAAAGTAAAAGTAAAAAAAAAGTTAAGGATAGAAACAGAAACAGACAGAAGTGTGTTTTCCTCCTAAGTGAAGCATTACATTTCTAATATTCCCCCACTATACGGTCAAAGGTATTTGCTCAAGTATCCATAACTTTGAATTCAGTTGTTGCAATCACTTCCACGTCTGTCGGCCAAAAACAGAGGCATGTTTCATCCTTGTTTTTCAACTGGACTCCTTCAGGACAGAGTTATTTCAAGTCTCTTAACAACAAATAACTTTTATTCCATCTCCAATTAGCAGATCTTTTATTGAATTTATAAATTATTTTAACATATTTAAATCTAAATGTGCATTTTGTCACCACAATGCTGCGGGATTAGTTGTAACTGCTGCTGGCACGTAATACTGCAAATTCAATAACTATATGCTATTTGTGTGTATGATTTTTATAGACTGTGCATGAAGTCTATGAAGTCTTGTTTGTGTTGAAGTAAACAAAAAAATGCCCTTGAAGAGATAATAAGGTTTTCCTGGTGTGGCTGCAAAGAGGGTTCCTACATCATATTAAACTGTAACATGAATGGACTGTCGTTCATATGGTGCATATGCAATCTGCGGATTTCCAGCTATAAATGCAATAGAAGTTCAAGAAATCCCAAGACATATTAATTAGAGTAGCATGGGTTATCGAACTGCCATTACATATTAATGCGTGTAATATAGTAATTGCAATGGACTGGGTAGTATTTTGATGGTTTATGACATTTTGGGTGCTGCTCATTTGAACTCTGACAGCAATATGTTAGCCATCTGGATGGACCTGCACTGTCCTGTATGCCCACACCTGATGCAACAGGAGCCTGATCTTAGTGAACAACATGCAAAACCTCACAGAGAGGAGCCGGCATCAAGATGATGTAAAAGAAAGAAAAGCAGTAGAGGAATTGTAGGTAAAGTGCAACAATTCAACAATAACGCTGCAATGACCTGTTTTTCCAGATAACATGCAGCTCTAGTAACAATGACATAATATCAGAAATAGTGAAATGTCTGTGAAATGATTCCACATTGGAATTAAAGAAGTAGTAAAAAACAAACAAAAAAAACAGAAGGATTTTATTTTATTCTTCAGCCTTTTGCCGTTATTGGACGAATGTTTCCTTTCATTAGACACATAACAGCTTCCCTGTAGTAATTTCTCGGCACTATATCCTCGCAGGTCTGAGTCTCGGTGTCCCCGTTTCCACACCACAAAAGACACCATTAATCACTGTGTTGTTTCTCTACAGCAATCATAGACAATAACTTTTCTTAATAAGCCCCTTCCAGGGCGGTGTGTCACTCAGATGCCCACTTCCTGACAAAACATTATTAATTATAAACAGCACAAGTATGGTTAGGCTTGTGTTGGTACAACGGTTGGGAGGATATTGGATATATACCCTCATCAAGCAACTTACTATATTTTCCCACAATATATAAGCAGGAGTTGGATTACTACATCCATCTCCTCTGCATTCGCTGACACGCCTTAGGGCTGCTCCGTAATTAGGAGAGCAGTTTATCCAACAATCACCAAGCAACAGGGATCCATGATGGTTTAGTTAAAAAAAAAAAAAAAACAAGAACAAGAAAATCCAAAATACACTGTGGCTGTGTTTGGTTAAAAACATCAAAATTAACGTCATAACCGAAGGTGCTCACACACAAACAGACGTTCAGTTCTGTCAAAGACTTTTAGGTGCAATGTGTTGAACAGACGTCCAGGAACATTCGTCGCTTCGGAGCAATCTGGCCGTCTTTCTAGGACACAAGATGCTAACGGCAGGACTTGGCAGCCCGCGCAGAACAGAGATAGCTACCGAATGATTTAGATTGTGGCGACCCTACAACTGCTGATACATTAAACTTTCATGGGGACTTCATAAATTAAAGCTGCGGCTGCAAGAACTCCAACATTCCACTCAATTACTGTGATTGTACAGTATATTAAAGTTTTAACAAGCCTCTGAGCCTTTCCTCACCAGAACACAAGCGGCAGGGAGGAAAGAGGGGGCGGCGGGGGACGGCAAAACACATGGTACCAATTCTGGTTCGATGGCCTTCGGAGGGTTTATGTGCATCTGCTGCGTTATCGAGACGGTGCACATCTCCGCGGAGTGTGACGCAGCACGTCGCACATTTGCACGACTAGAAGGAAGAGCGCGAACCGCTGCAGGGTGAGACCTCTCGCAGACTCGGCGAAGCAAGCGAGTGGAGCCTCGTCTTTCTTTTTTTTTGGGCTCGCGCGCAGCCCCGCACTCAGCCCGCCGATCGTTGCCGAGCCAGCGGCCCATACTGCATCGCAGATGGGGCGGACAGAAGGGAGAGGCGACAGCCCGCTTGCTTTTTGGAGGGATG